GCCCCATTCATTCTTTCCTTTACACGGATCAGACGTCCTGGTCCCTTTGCAGAAAAACAGCCCCAAAGCATGATGTTTCCACCCCCATGCTTCACAGTAGGTATGGTGTTCTTTGGATGCAACTCAGCATTCTTTGTCCTCCAAACACGACGAGTTGAGTTTTTAACCAAAAAGTTATATTTTGGTTTCATCTGACCATATGACATTCTCCCAATCCTCTTCTGGATCATCCAAATGCACTCCAGCAAACTTCAGACGGGCCTGGACATGTACTGGCTTAAGCAGGGGGACACGTCTGGCACTGCAGGATTTGAGTCCCTGGCGGCGTAGTGTGTTACTGATGGTAGGCTTTGTTACTTTGGTCCCAGCTCTCTGCAGGTCATTCACTAGGTCCCCCCATGTGGTTCTGGGATTTTTGCTCACCGTTCTTGTGATCATTTTGACCCCACGGGGTGAGATCTTCCGTGGAGCCCCAGATTGAGGGAGATTATCAGTGGTCTTGTATGTCTTCCATTTCCTAATAATTGCTCCCACAGTTGATTTCTTCCAACCAAGCTGCTTACCTATTGCAGATTCAGTCTTCCCCAGCCTGGTGCAGGTCTACAATTTTGTTTCTGGTGTCCTTTGACAGCTCTTTGGTCTTGGCCTAGTGGCGTTTGGAGTGTGACTGTTTGAGGTTGTGGACAGGTGTCTTTTATACTGATAACAAGTTCAACAGTGCCATTAATACAGGTAACGAGTGGAGGACCAGGGAGCCTCTTAAAGAAAGAAGTTACAGGTCTGTGAGAGCCAGAAATCTTGCTTGTTTGTAGGTGACCAAATACTTATTTTCCACCATCATTTGCAAATAAATTCATTAAATATCCTACCAATGTGATTTTCTGGATAAAAAATTCTCAAATTTGTCTGTCATAGTTGATTGTACCTATGATGAAAATTACAGGCCTCTCTCATCTTTTTAAGTGGGAGAACTTGCCACAATTGGTGGCTGACTAAATACTTTTTTTTTTCCCCACTGTCGTTTCCCCTTATTGTAATATTTGCATGGCTATTGTACTTGGCTCCACTGGAGACTTGGTTTTAGTAGACTTCCTTTCCGTGTGTCTCTTCTGCAATGATCTGTAAGACTTGAAAGGTGTAAGCAATAAGTTAATTCTCATCATTGACTGGCTTTAACTTGTCAATCATTACAGATCCATGAAGACAGAGGAAAGGAAAGTACTGGGAACTGGCCAAAATAAAGCAAACACCAACATAAAGTGTCTTAATAGGACATTTTTTAGAGTTGGGTGATATGGACAAAAATCCATATTGCAATAAATTGTCTGAATTAATGTGATAACGATAAATGAAAGATAATTATTGTGCACTTACCATTCTTTTAACATGATCCTTTAAACTACTACTACCTAAGTTTGATTGTTGTAGCCATCAATTTCCCATAACAATCACCCATATTAGCAAACTTATTTCATTTCAAAACTTACTTCCTCTAGTATAGGCTACGATTGTATGAGATATTTCTGCAAAATACCTGCGTGAATAAATAAGGATCGGTATGGTATAGGAGGTGTCACGATACCAGAATTCTGACTTGATACGTACAGGTTTAGTATTCATGAACTCTATACCAGAGGTGGGAACCAAGTCACTATGTATTCAGTCACAAGCAAGTCTCAAGGTCAAGACGCGAGTCAAGTCCCAATTGTGCATCTAAAGCGAGTCCGTCACAAGTTTTCAAGTCAAGTCTTGAAGTACGTTTTTGTTAAATCTAGACATTGCAATGCTTGTTCAATACCAAATCTTTGTATATTTATTGAGGGTACCAGACAGCCCTTTCATAATTTTTTTCTACAACACATTTGATTAGACTATGTAGGCTAATTGTAAAATAGGGAACCTGGTAGCAGTCAAAAGAGCATGTCTCATATTGTTCTTTGCCCTTCCGGCCGGGTTCATTATAAAATACAAAAAAGTTACAAATTTTTTTCTTTTAAATTCAGAATAAAACTACTGTGTTTCTTTTTTTTTGTTTTTTTTTTCTCTTTCCGCCGGGTTCGTCGTTCCCCTGCCGCCCCCCCCGCCGCCCCCTGCTCGCGAGAATGATACCCCGAAGATACGCAAGGTGCGACAGTTTTTTCTTACCTCTACAGGTACCAACCTGAGAGGGTTACCTACGGGACTTACCATGTACCATTAAAGCACGGAAACCGGTCGTTATACAATGGGACTACTGAAGAAGCTCAGCTTTCTATGGCCGTAATCCTATAATGGTTAGGCCTACGACCTATCATCTCCCCAACAAGATGTCAGACATGGTGGTAACAGGTTGGAACGTGGCCTACCTTTTTTGGTGGGCTCCCTGTTTCAATGATGGGAATCTCTATAGTTCGGACTGTAAATGTGGTGAGTCCGCTCACAGGCATTCTTGCATGAAGTCAATAAAAAGAAGTTTACATGTCAGGCTTTTAGTCTAAAGTCCTACGAAGTGATGTGAGACGCTTCATGGCCTGCTCACTGTTATTAGGAAGACGGGGGGGACGTCTAGTGGGGCGAAAAGGGTATGGAGCCACCAGTTGTTTCCATCATCCTGGAACAAAACATGTTTGTCCATAAGTCAAGGCGGCTTTGTCTTTCAACAGATGCTTGATGGTTTATCATCGTCTTATTGTTTTTGTCGAAAACAGAACATCCCAGGAGTCGTGTTCACAAGTTGTGATTGGATCTCACGAGTGGCTGTAGAGAGAGAGATGTTGTGCTGAGCTAAGCTTGATGTAGTTTATCTTTCAACATGGATGATGTCAGGGCCAAGGGCTCCTCAGATAGGAGTGTATGTGACATTGTGAAGTATGTTGTCCAAACCGTTAAACACGGGCTGGTCGGCGAGCCGTTACCAGAAAACCTCACCCACGATGACCCACACAAGGTCGAGTCGAATGATGCATAAGGAAGTGTCGTGGGGCCCATTGATTCGCTCTAGTACCTTGTGTACCCTTAAAGATGTCTCATCCTAAGAGCAGGAGGAGGGAGCGTCTGGGATCCCACAGCTGGAATTTTGTCCACACTGGTTGCGATGGGGATGATGATGCGCAATTGTCTGGGGTAGGGAAATCTCCATTCTATCGTCTGGCCATTCATGTCACACTCTATCAGAGTCGGGGGAGAGTGAGTTCTGTTGGTCTTTCGATTAGGACTCACATTGAAGTTGACGGCTCTCCTGCCTGAAGTCTCGTGTTACCCCAGAACAGGTATTCATGGTGTATGTATGGAGCAGAGTTGTCTTGATGTTGTGATTGAAGAGAGTGAAAAACTCTGTTGGCCAGAGAGCAAGATTTGTTCTATGTTCATCAAGCACTAACATACAATTTTGACCAGCTTTCTCTCTTTTCCAGTGGATAAGATTGACTAGGGGTGGGGGGGGCATATGTTTGACATGATCTTGGATTGGCTGCTCACCACAGATTCGGTACACTTTGAGGTTGATGATAGAAGAGCATTCTTCACCTTGACTCCCCGCCATGCCATTTCTTCTGCTGAGCGGTTGTCTGTAGTTGAAGGGGCTGGCCTGGATGCAAGAGCAGCAAGATGTATGTCGCTTTTGGTCACACTCAGAGACTTGAATTGACCACCTTACAGTCTTTAGCTCTGTGCTGAGTTGACCACAAACATCGAAGCAAATGCCATTTCTTTGAGATATGATTTGCGCCCATCTAGAGGTTTTGTATATCTAAACCCACACCACTTTTTAAGAGGATGAGGCTTTGTTATGATTGGACAGTGATGGTCAGGGGCTTCAACCTTTGTCGTAAGGGTTTGGTTTGGTGGTCTGAGGGTTTAGATGACACGTTGTTTGTTGTACAGCCAAGGTTTGTACTTGCTGCTGTACCTGGACAGATTTCTCCACTTTTCACAGACACCTGGGTAGTTGAGGGTAGAGGGGGAAGCTGGGGTCGTTCTATTTTCGCCTGGTTCCTGATGAATCTTGGTAAAAAAACAAGGAGGAACGAGAATGGTGGGAATGCTACCGAAGTCCTCCTTGTATTGGATCTTTGTTAATCCATTTCTCTGTTAAACTGAATGGAAGTTCTCTACTATAGGGTTACCCGGAGATAGGGCCAAGAATAAAAGAGGCCTGGAAAAAAAGGACCAATTCTTCTTTAGACACTCCAGTGCGAAGAAGAATGTCAACCAGTATCTCTTAGGTTTGTGATGTCTTGTTAGACAGTTGCGAAAAATCATTCAATTTCTTCAACAGTGCATTCATCGATCACTTCGGGTGTACAATAGACCACTCTTTAGTCATTGCCAGACCATGTTAAGTCCTGCTGTTGCATGAGAATATGGACAGATCTAATTCTACTTGCTTGCTCAGAGACTCTGCCCTAGCCCCCCAACTGGTAATTAGATCTAAACTCTGCCCTGGCTGATAGATTAAGTCTACTGGTCGCATTGGAGAAAAAAATATGCTTTTCCAGTTAGATAATTTTAAGGACGATCATCAAACTTCGGAGTCCGGAACTCACCATCTCACGGTGCAGGAGGTGGACTGGTGTGAAGTTATGGTGCCACTTGTGACTCAGGGGAAGACTTTGTGTCAGTGACGGAAGTGGGTGTTTTCCCGTTCCACCATGCTGCTGGTTCATTCTTTTTGAACGGAGAGTCTATGCTCATGCTCCGGTGTTTGTACTGTCTGGATTGTGGTGTGCAGGCTGGGCTCCACACTAAGCTCTGTGTCTCTACTTACAAATGGCATTCAGCAAAGTAGGGCCTAGAGGTGGTTGCAAATACTCACAAGTACGTTGGACTGGGACTTAAAGAGGCGTGTATGTCCCTGTGTTGAGTATATACTTTGTGGAGCTCTCTGCGTTCTGACCTCTACAGCTTCTTCAAAGCTGCAGTTCAGCAACGCAGCAGCGCAGCTGCTCTCTCCAACTTGGAGAGAGAAACATATATAAAATTACATCGAGGTCAGCTTTTTGCTTCAACAAGCTGGCCTCCAGTTATGCCTTGTGTTCATCACAGAAGATTCTTTTCAGCATCATAGGAGACTTGAGCACGCGCTGAGTTGGAGTCCTCTTGGCACGTGAACTATTGATGGCTGCAGACTCGCCGTTGAGGATCGCTTGACTGTTTTGATGACCTTGATTGGTAGACGGAGATGGTCTCAATGTGCTGAGGAGGCTCTCATCTCTTACTCGCTCCTCATACTCTTCCTCTTTCTGTCGTCGAAAATTTGCCTTCTGGTTGCTGGCATCGTTGACTGCTGGTCATCCCTAGGAATCAGAGGCTTTGTTGCTAATGAACGATAGAGTCATAAACCACCCGTGCGATAATTCTTGTGTGCTTGAGCCGCCGTGATGATGTTTTTTCCTATTCTGCCACTGGAATTGCGTTCCCATGCAAAAAGCAGTCGCTAACAAAATGAGTCTTCAATAATAAAAATTTCCAAGGCGTGACTTTCTTTGAAAACGTTTATTTGTGTAACTGCAAAATACAGAAAGGTACTATACTTTAGTATCCAATTAAGAATAGTGTTGTAGTGTTACATATACATTTAGTTGAAGTGGGCATAAATACAAAGCAGTGCCAAAACGGACATGTATATGACATGACGACAAACCAGATAGATAATTACCATCATGAGTAGCAACTAGCCAACTACTTTCATTACTCTAATAATGTGCAAACACCCCTCTGTTTTTAGATGCTTTTATTTTTAAATACAATAAAAAGAATTATTACCCAGAAACAGTAAAAAACTATAGTATAGTATGTTTTACAATTCACTTACATGACGCACGAGCCAAAACTAATCAGCTGATGGCCATCCATTGAAAGAGTCAAGCAAGTTTGCGTGCGTTAAAAAATGTAACCCAAACTAACATGATAAAAGTAAGAATTCTCAATAACAATCTTATCATCCACTCAGGCAATATACTTGAAATGAACTTACAAATAAATATTTTCAGAGGCTGAAGCCGTGACAAGAAATATTGCCACAGAAAGAACGGTAGCCGTTATTACAAGCTGCTTCTGCATGAAGAATGAATACCCTACTTCGGTTTTTGTAATTCTTCTAGTACCAGAAGCTCCACTAGGGGACGAATAAACACCAATGGAAACACATGAAAGTCAATCTTAACCACTATAATAAAAATATTCTGTTACTTCTGCCCAAATTGCTCACTCCTCCCCAACGTCACGGCTGTCATGTTGACTTGTACCAGAATGTGTCTTTCACCTCCCGTAGGATCCCTGATGGCTAACAATAACATCCTGCAAGATGTAAAGTTATACATTCACCTAACTCTCTTCAGTGACATGAATAAGTAAATTCATATTTCAAGTTTAGAAGTCAGGAACCAACAAGCACTACAAAATCAAATCCCTTTTTTCTTTTAGGTTTTTCTCTCGAGAATGTGAAAATTCCATTGGAGTGAGGGGAAGAGTATTTTCAATAAACTTTTCTCAATTTGGGTATACTGATTAACAAAAGGGACAAAACAAATGAAGTGGAGTGGGCGGTCAGGTGGACATTGGAATTGGGACATTGCCATGGCAATCCAATATAACTATGAAGCTATCTGAAGAACATAAGGAGGACGCCAGAAGATTGAGTGCCGGTAGAGGAAGGGAGTGTTAGTTGAGGTAGTATGTTGAATTGAGGGGTATTATACACTGCTAATTATAGTGATTAGACTAAGAATGCATTTGTCACGCCCTGACTCGGGACGCTTAAATGTTGAGTCAGGGTGTGTATTTTCTTTGTTGTGTGTTTCTATGTTTCGATCTATTATGTTAGATCTATGTTGGCCGGTGTGGTTCCCAATCAGGGGCAGATGTACCCTGTTGTCTCTGATTTGGGATCATACTTAGGCAGCCTATTGGCACTAGTGGGTTGTGGGATCTTGTTCCTTGTAAGGTATGTTGTGTGTACTACCTTGGACTTCACTTTTTCGTTTCGGTTATTGTTTTGTCAAGTGTTTATTACGTTAATAAACATGTACGTATATCACGCTGCGCCTTGGTCTGTCCCGTCATTCAACGAACATGACAGAAGATCCCACCAAACACGGACCAAGCAGCGTGCCCAGGCGGAGCAGATGGCCATGTCACAGGTGGCCAATTTGTGGTCATGGGAGGAGATATTTGCGGGGAAAGGACCATGGGCTAAGTTAGATGCCCAGGCAGGAGAGGAGCAACGGCAACACGGAGGAGGCCGGTCGAGGAGGAAGCCCGAGAAGCAGCCCCAATAAAAAAAATTGGGGGGGCACACTGGGTGGTTGGCGGAGCCTAGGGTTAGAGCAGAGCCAACTCCCCGTACTCACCGAAGAGGCGTATGACTGGGCAAGCTCTGTGTTAGCGGAGCTACGTACTGTGTCGCCAGTGCTCCGGCACAGTCCTCTACGTCCTGTGCTTGCACCACGCACGTGACGTGCGAAGATGGGCATCCAGCCAGGACGGGGTGTGCCGGCTCAAAGCTCCTGGTCTCCAGTACGCCTCCTCGGTACCGCATATCCTGCGCCAGTTCTACGATCTGTATCGCCAGTGCGAGTGCACAGCCCAGTGCGTCCTGGTCCAGCACCCCGCACGTGTAGTGCGAAAGTGGGCAGCCAGCCAGGACGGGTTGTGCCAGCTCCCGCTCTAGACCTCCAGTCGCCTCCACAGTCCGCCCGGCCTGTTCCTGCTCCTCGCACCAAGCCAGTGGTGCGCGTCGCCAGCCCGGCCCGGGCCGGACTGGTGACGCGCACCACTGGCTTGGTGCGAGGAGCAGGGACGGGCCGTACTGGACTGGGAACACGCACCACTGGCTTGGTGCGGGGAGCAGGTACGGGACGTACCGGGCTGGCGACAGGCACCACTGGCTTGGTGCGGGAGCAGGTACGGGACGTACCGGGCTGGCGACAGGCACCACTGGTTTGGTGTGAGGAGCTGGCACGGGCCGTACCGGACAGGATACGCGCACCACTGGTTTGGTGCGGGGAGCAGGTACTGGGCGTACCAGACTGTGGAGGCGGACTGGAGGTCTGGAGCGGAGAGTTGGCACAACCCGTCCTGGCTGGATGCCCACTTCCGCACAGTACGTGTGTGGCGTTAGCACAGGACGCACTGGACTGTCCCACGCGTGCTGGCGATTCAGTACGTAGAACCGCCGCAGGATATGCTGGACCAAGGGGCGTACTGGAGACCAGGATCGTTGAGCCGGCACACCCCGTCCTGGCTGGATGCCCATTTTCGCACGGCACGTGCGTGGCGCTAGCACAGGACGCACTGGACTGTGCCGGCGCACTGGCGACACAGTGCGTAGCTCCGCATAACACGGAGCCTGCACGGTCACACGCTTCTAGTGTGAGTACGGGGAGTTGGCTCTGCTCTGAACCCAGGCTCCGCCAACCACCCCGTGTGCCCCCCCCCAAACATTTTTCTTGGGCTGCTTCTCGGGTTTTCTTCCTGACCGAGTTCTTTTGGGTCGCCGTTTCTCCTCTCCTGCCTGTGGCTTCTACCTTCGCCCATGGTCCTTTCCCCGCAAATATCCTCCCAAGACCACATCTTCACCACCTGTGTCCAATGTGTTTGCTCCTCCTGGGCACGCAGCTTGGTCCATTTTTGGTGGTGGGATCTTCTGTCTTGTTCGTTGAAGGACGGGTCAGACCAAGGCGCAGCGTGAAATCCCATACATGCTTATTTATTAAAAATAAACACACGAACAAAACAACAAAACAACGTAACGTGAAGTCCTCAGGCTAAACACAATACAAGCCTATACAGGGAACAAGATCCCACAACTAATGATTGCAAACAGGCCAACTTAAGTATGACCCCCAATCAGAGACAACGAGCGACAGCTGCCTCTGATTGGGAATCACACCCGGCCAAACATAGAAACACAATACCTAGAATGTAAACTAGAAATAATAACATAGATCTCCACCCCTGACTCAACATACAAGAGTTCCATAAGTCAGGCGTGACACACGCACTTAATACCTTGTATTAGAACCAATACTATAGCGTCTGCAAATGTATTACTGGAGAATACGGGTGATCTTATGTCTTATTCCAGTGTTACGCCTCAAATATCACTGTTGTTGATAACACACATTACCAAAATGACTCACAGTTGTCTTCCTGTTTCCTCAAACTCTGTCACTGTTCCCTGCCCCAATAGGCCATTAACCAACCTCTCTCCTTATTGCTACTGCTAATACACTCAAATCATGTTCAAACAACATTTGAATATCCTTTTCTAACCACGGATGAGGCTCTTCTCCAGAACTTATAGGCAACCTTTTATCCTAACATTAGCATAACACTTTTATCCACCCACACACATTATACTGCCTCACGGACACTGCGGCTGAGACTTTCACCCTCTCGTTACAGGTTTAGCAGGGAACAAATCCCACCCGGGATTAACCCTCTAGGACTTACCCTCTACAGGTACCAACCTGCTCGGGCTTACCTTCCGGGACTTACCATGTACCATAAAGCTACGACCGGCCCGTAATACAATGGGACTACTGAAGAAGCTCAGGCTTTCTATGTCCGTATCCTATAATTGGTTCAGCCTACGACTCTCATCTCCCCAAGATGTCAGAATGAGTGGTAACGGGTGTAGGAACTGTGCCTACCTTGTTTTTGGTGCCGGCTCCTGTTTCACTGATTGGGAATCTCTAGTTCGACTGTAAATCGTGGTGATTCCTGCTCACAGCATCTTTTGCATGAAAGTCAATAAAATGAAGTTTCATGTCAGGCTTTTAGTCTAAAGTCCTACGAAGTGATGTGAGACGCTTCATGGCCTGCTCCCTGTTATTAGGAAGACGACGTCTAGTGGGGCGAAAGGGTAGTGGAGCCACCAGTTGTTTCCATCATCCTGGAAAACCTGTTTGTCCATAATGTCCAAGGCGGCTTTGTCTTCCACAGATGGTGCTGGTTTATCATCGTCTTGTGTTTTTGTCGAACACAGAACATCCCAGGCTGTCTGTGTTCACAGTTGTGCTTGGATCTCACGAGTGGCCTGTAGAGAGAGAGATGTGTTGCTGAGCTACGCTGCTGTAGTTCTCTTTCACCTGGATGATGTCAGGGCAAGGGCTCAGATAGGACGTGTGACCATTGTGAAGTATGTTTGTCCTAAACACGTTAACACTGGCTGGTCGGCGAGCCGTTCCCAGATAAACCTCACCCACGATGACCCACCCAAGGTCGAGTCGCTGTGCATAAGGAGTGTCGTGGGCCCATTGATTTGCTCTCGTACCTTGTGTACCCTTAAGATGTCTCATCCTAAGAGCAGGAGGATGGGAGCGTCTGGGTCCACAGCTGGAATTTTGTCCACCACTGGTTGCAGATGGGGATGATGATGCGCAATGTCTGGGGTGGGAATCTCCATTCTATCGTTTTGGCATCATGTCACACTCTATCAGAGTGGGAGAGTGAGCTTCTTGTGTCTTTCTATAGACTCCACCATGAAGTTGACGGCTCTCCTGCCTGAAGTCTCTGTTACCCCAGAACAGGTATTCATGGTGTATGGAGCAGAGTTGTCATTGATGTTTGAAGAGATTGAAAAACTCTGTTTTGGGCCCAGAGATGTGTTTGCTATGTTCATCAAGCACTACATACATTTTGACAGCTTTCTCTCTTTTCCCAGCTGGATAAGATTTGACTAGGCATATGTTTGAACATGATCTTGGATTGGCTGCCTCACCACAGATCTCGGTACACTTGAGGTGACTGATAGAAGAGCATCTTCACCTTGCTCCCCGCCATGCCCTTTCTCTGCTGTAGCGGTGTCTGTAGTTGAAGGGGCTGGACCTGGATGCAGAGCAGCAAGATGTCTGTCGCTGTCACACTCAGAGCACTTGATTGACACCTTACAGTCTTTAGCTCTGTGCTGAGTTGACCCACAACATGGGAAGCAAATGCCATTCTCTTTGAGATATGATTTGCGCTCATCTAGAGTTTTGTATCTAAACCCACACCACTTTTTAAGAGGATGAGGCTTGTTATGTATTGGACAGTGATGGTCAGGGCTTTCAACCTTTGTCTTACTGGGTTTGGTTTGGTGGTCTGAGGGCTCAGATGACACGTCTGTTTTGTGTACAGCCACAGGTGTCTTGCTGCTGTACCTGACAGATTTCTCACTTTTCACAGACACCTGGTAGTTGAGGTGTAGAGGGGGAAGCTGGGGTCGTTTCTAGTTTTCGCCTGGTTCCTGATGAATCTTGGTAAAAACGAGAATGGTGGGGAAAGCTACCCGATAGTCCTCCTTGTATTTGGATCCCTGTGCTATCCATTTCTCTTGTAAACTGAATGGAAGTTCTTCTACTATAGGGTTTACCCCCGAGATGTGTCCAGTAAGCGAGGCCTGGAAGGTACCCTTCTTCTTTAGCACACTCCAGTTCGAGAAGAATGTCACCCAGTTCTCTTAGTTTGTGATTGTCTTTGTTAGACAGTTTTCGAAAATCATCAATTTTCTTCAACAGTGCATTCTCGATCACTTCGGGTGTACCATAGCACTCTTCTAGTCATTGCCAGACCATGTTAAGTCCTGCTGTTGCATTGAGAATATGGACAGATCTAATTCTCTTTGCTTGCTCAGACGACTTCTGCCCCTAGCCACTTGGTAATTAGATCTAACTCTTCCCTGGCTGATAGATTCAAGTCTCTGGTCGCATTGAGAAAATATGCTTTCCAGTTAGATAATTTTCAGGACGATCATCAAACTTCAGGAGTCCGGAACTCACCATCTCACGGTGCAGGAGGTACTTTGTGAGTTCTGGTGCCACTTGTGACTCAGGGAAGCTTTGTGTCAGTGACTGGAAGTGGGCCTGTTTTCCTTTCCACCATGCTGCTGTTCATTTCTTTTGAACGGGAGTCTCTGCTCATGCTCCGTTGTTTGCTACTTTCTGGATTGTGGTGTGCAGCTGGGTCAACACTAAGCTCTTGTGTCTCTACTTCAAATGGCATTTCAGCAAAGTAGGGCCTAGCATGTTGTTGCACATACTCACAAGTACGTTGGACTGGACTTAAGGGCTGTGTCCCTGTGTTGAGTTCTTTGTGGAGCTCTCTGCGTTCTGACTCTAAGCTTCTTCAAAGGCTGCAGCTTCAGCCAACGCAGCAGCAGCTGCTCTCTCAACTTGGAGAACATATAAACTTACATCGAGGTCAGCTTTTTGCTTCAACAAGCTGGCCTCCAGTTCTGCCTTTTGTTTCATCACAGAAACTTCCTTTCACATAGGAGACTTGAGCACGCGCTGAGTCCTCCTTGGCACGTTTCTTTGATGGCTGCAGAACTCGCCGTTGAGGATCTGCTTGACGTTTTGATGACCTTGATCTTGTAGACTGAGACTTGGTCTCAATGTGCTGAAGAGGCTCCTCCATCTCTCTTACTCGCTCCTCTTCCTCTTTCTGTCGAACATTTGCCTCTGGTTGCTGCATCGTAGACTGCTGGTCATCCCTAGATCAGAGGCTTTGTTGGCTAATGAACGTAGAGTCTAACCACCACGTGCGATAATTCTTGTGCTTGAGCCCGCCGTGATGATGTTTTTTTCACTATTTTGCCCTGGAATTGCGTTCCCCTGCAAAACTAGGGCAGATAGCTAACCCAAATGAGTCTTCATAAAACTTCCAAGGCGTGACTTTTCTTTGAAAACGTTTATGTTGTGTAACTGCAAAATACAGAAAGTAATATACTTTAGTATCCAATTCACATTGACATAGTGTAGCTGTACATTATACATTTCAAGTTGAAGTTGCATAAATACAAAGCAAGTGCCAAGGTACCATGTATCTGACATGACGACAAACCAGATAGATAATTACCATATGAGTAGCAACTAGCCAACACTTTCATTACTCTAATAATGTGCAAACACCTCTGTACAATAACAAAGCATATTACTCCAGAAACATAACAAACTATAGTATAGTATGTTTTACAATTCACTTACATGACGCACGAGCAAACTAATACAGCTGATGGCATCCATGAAAGTCAATGCAATTTGCGTGAGTAATGTAACCAACTAACATTGATAAGTAAGCAATTCTATCAATAACAATTTTATCATCACTAGCAATATACTTTGAATTGAACTTACAAATAAATATTTTCAGAGGCTGAAGCGTGACAAGAAATATTTGCACAGAAAGAACTGTAGCGTTTTTAAAGCTGCTTGTCTCCCATGCAAAAATGACTACCCTACTTCCGGTTTTGTACATTCTTCTAAGTACCAGAAAGCTCCATAGGGGACGATAAACACCATGGAAACAATAAAAGTCACTCTTAACCACTATAATAAAATATTCTGTTACCTTCTGCCCAAATTGCTCACCCCTCCCCAACTCACGGCTGTCATTTGACTTGTACCAGACTTGTCTCTTCACCTCCCGTAGGATCCCTGATGGCTAACAATAACATCCTGACAGAATGTAAACGTTATACATTCCCTCTCTCTCTCAGTGACATGAATAAGTACATTTCATTTTTCAAGTTTTAGAAGTCAAAACCCAAAAAGCACTACGCCAAGAGGTCCGAACCTCTCGATGATGTCACTAGGTGTTGGATTAAGGTTTGCTACATTACCCCTTTTCCTTGGGGAGAGCATGTCCCCACACTTCTTTATAGCAAGTCTCTCACGTGTACATGCCTCTTGATGAACTCACAGGCACTACCCACTTTGACACCAGTGTAACGAATTTGGGGGTAGCTCCCCCGGGACTCGAACCCGGGTCCATTTGACAAATCAACCCAAAACACCTTATCCATTAAACCCAAGAGATGAAGGTTTTAAATTTTAGTAGGTGTTGGTTCAGCTTGCTACAGTATATACTTATATAGGGCAATGTGTGATCTGGGAGCGTCAGCACTACCATAGTGCTCCTGAAACAGCCTAACCCCAATATTTACTTCTTACCTTAAAAAAACTGCCCAAAAGTCAGATACATTTAAACAAACCACCATGTGAGCAGAAAGTGTAGGGTTAATGAGTGAAGGGGGGGATGGGTGGGAAACCACAGTATCAACTATATGTCTATGAATGCATTACTATTAATGCGTTACTAAAACGGATGGATGCTTTTCATCAACACCCATCTCACCGTGAAACTAGATATCAGCAATCAATAAACAAGACTAATGAAATGGAGCAAAATGAAGACATTAGAACTGCTAAAGGTCGATATTATATTCTGACACCAATTCCTACTGGAGATTTTGTACATGTCTGTCAATCCTGAGAGCAACGCTCCCCCTTTCCTTCCCCTTCCCCCATCTCTCTTTGTTGGGGTGAAGTTTCCCCTAGATACAGATCTAGGATCAGCTTCCCCTCCCCCAAACCTAAAAAGGGATCATTAGTGGGAGAAAATTCAAACCTGATCCAAAGCCAGTGTCTATTTGAGAAACTTTCCCCTCCCCCACAACTCTACTGTGGATGCGGTTTCCTCTATCTCACCATGTTCACAAAGAAAACGGCAGTGTATTTCAGCTGTATGTATTTTGAGTTCTAGCTATATTATTTTAATTGTTTTTAAACCTAGCTTCATTATTATTCAACCAGTAGAGAGGCCTCTGTGTAGTTGGAGAAAAATACTCTTTACCCCAGGTCTCCTTGAGATGCCCAAAGTAGATTGTCTCTGTGTGTTGGAGAAAAATACTTTTTTAAACCCCAGGTCTCCTTGAGATGACCAGTAGATGCCTCTGTGTAGTTGGAAAAAAATACTCTTTACAGATGAGCTTTGGGTTTCTAGGTATTTTTAGTCCCAGGTAATTTTAAGTGGTCATACACCACTTTAAATGGCATCCTCTCTAGCTCACTTTTTTGTAAAAATTTCTGAGATACACATGAGGTCATTTTTTCCCCCAAATTTTTTGATATCCAGATAGTTTGCCAAATGAAATTGATTAAGTCTGGTAGGTTAGGGACAGAGGCTACTGGGTCTGAGAGGTATAAAAGCACATGTCGCATATAATGAAATTATGCTTTCTTTTTTTTCCCTACTTTAAGACCTTGGATATTAGGCTGACCCCTTTATTTGTATCGCCAGGGGTTAAAGGGGAGACAGCGAAGAGCAGAGGATGAGTGGGAAACCCCTGTGGACAGATCTATGTAGTTCAAAGGGAATGGATTTGTCGCTGTTGGCCCATAGAGGATGTTGGGCAGGCGTAGAGTGTTTTGACCCAGGTGATAAATGAGTCGCCAAACCAATCTAGTGAGTGCTTCAAACTTTGTATTACCATTCTATTTGGTTCAAACATTTTTTGAGCATCTGCGATATAATAGCCACTTGGAGACTTTCCCATGATTTGATATGAATTTTAAGAAGCCTCGCACATTAGAAAAAGAGAACCTGCCGGGGATAAACCCTGTCTGATCTGGGTGAATAATGGTTCTTCATGTTTGTTCAACCTTTTATCTTTTAAAATCGAAATTAAGCAATCCTATTGGTCTATAATTTGCAGGATCTTTACCTCAGCCTTTTTTTAACAGAGGCAAATATTGGCTTCATACAATGATTTCAGCAAAATTTTTATTTTCTGTTGAATCAGTGATCATTTGAGTAAGAGGGGCGAGAGCTTCACTTATGTTTTATAAAATTAAACAGCCAAACCATCCGGGAAACTGCAGCCTTTCCAGGTGGGAAGTTTTTATTGCCTCGATTATTTCCTCTTTTGTGAAATTTGAGTTAATTATTTTTTTTTTTGTCAGGCTGATGGAGTCAAAAAGGCTGCTAAAATCAGAACTAGAAGCATCAGATCTGGAAGAATATAACTGAGTAAAATTATTTGAAGCAGTTGTTTATCTCTTTAGGATCTGTCAGCAAGATGGCCCCCTTTAGACCAGATTTTATGGATTGCTTCACACCTGTTTCCCATCTTGTATTACTCCGTCCCTATTTAACCTGTGGCTCCCATTGTGCTCTGTGCGTGTTTGTTTGTTTCGGGTGTCGATAGTGAGCGGGTTTGTTCCCCCCTGCGTGGAGGTTTTCTGTTTCTTTACGTGTTCAGTAAAGTTACATTTTCATGAGTTCTGTGTCCTGCGCTTGATTTCGTCTACTGCGTTACCCCTGACACCGTGACAGAAATACGCACCGATATAGAGTCAGCAGGAACGCCAGATTTACCGAGACGATGGGGGAAACGAGTCCAACGTCAAGAAGACGATGATTCAACTCTCTGTGCCACAATGGAACGAGTTTTCCCAGATGGAACGATTGGAGAGAGGTGGTACCCCTTTTCCCTATTTCCAACCACACAACCACCTACAACACTGGCTACCACTTCGCCCCTGGGTCCAGTGGAATTCGGCTCTCGCTCCCGAGGGCACATGACGGTACACCTGCCGGGTGCCAGGGTTTTTCTCCTCCAGGTAGAGCTCTACTGGCCACTATTCACTCGGCGCCCTCGGGAAACGAGAGCGTGTCCGCCCTCATCTCCTGTCATCGGGGAAGGCGCTTGAGTGGGCCAACGCCGAGTGGGGGGGAAATAGCCCAAAGAACTGTCCACTACGAGGTTTTTCACCCCGCTTCCCGGGCGTATTCGATCATCCACCTGAAGGGAGAGCGGCGGGAGAACGTCTTTTTCCACCTACGACGGGAGATGAGGAGCGCACGGGATTTTGCACGGGAGTTTAGAATTTAGCAGCCAGGCGGGATGGAATGAGGGGGCCTGATCGACCACTATCGTTGCGAACTTAAGGGAGGACGTCCGTCAGGAACTGGCCTGCAGGGACAAACCAATCTCAACCTGGACAACTGGTGGACCATGTCCATCAAGTTGGATAACCTGTTGGCAGCCCGCGGATGTTCTGATGAGTGGCCGTCCCATTCCATCCACCAGCACCTCCGAGCCTACCCCCATGGAGCTCGGAGGTGCTTGCGGTTAGGGAGACTTGGAGAGGGACCGTCCCCTTGCACCAACTGTGGCCGCAGAGGACACAACTGCTGGTCGGTGCTGGTGGAGGGTTCTCAGGAGTCGAGGCAGCAGGCAGAGCACTGGTCGACCGTCTCAGGTGAGTAGCACCCGACTATCCCAGAGCTCCCTGTTGCTAATATGTGTATTGATATTATGTTTTCCAGTGTTTTCTCCCCATTCCCAGCATAAGGCACTAGTAGATTCATGCGCGGCTGGGAATTTTTATTGATCGCCAGTATGCCCGTAGTTTAGGGCATTCCTCTGGTGTCTGTTGATAAACCTTTCCCTGTGCATGCATTAGATAGTCGACCGTTAGGGTCAGGGCATAATCAGGGAGGTCACCGCTCCAGTGCTGCTGATGACGCAGGGGGGTCATGAGGATAGGATTAGCCTATATCTGATTGATTCTCCTGCGTATCCTGTGGTGTTGGGACTTCCCTGGTTAACCATTCATGACCCCACGATTTCATGGCAACAGAGGGCTCTCAAGGGAGGTCCGGTCAGTGGTTCGGGAAGGTGTTTATGG